GATAACATTAAAATCACAGTTTTTAATAAAAATCGAGTATTTTAAACGTATATACATGTCTAAAAAACTAATAAATCATGAAATTAGTGCCATACTATTAATTTCTTACTCTTAATCCTTTAAATTTTAACAGGCACGCAAATTTCCACAGTCGCCGTCTTAATAGCACAGTGTGTGTTAATAGTATTCAATAGTATCTCGTCGGTGGCTCCAAGAATACGACTGACGTCGGTGAGCGTCAGAATGTATCGCATGAATGTAAGTATATTCCCTTTCCCTTGTATATAAGAGTATTATTCTTATTTTATGTTAATTATTGAGATGAACAGAACAAGATAGACACTCGGAGCGTACGCTTTGTAGCAGAATAGCCAGCAAAGGGGAAACGTAGACGGACTTCGTCAGAATTGTCAGAATGGAAGACAAGCCGGCTCTGTGAATCAAATGCCGATGACGATCTCGGAACAATTCAGGCAGTCATGGCTGACAGCGATAATTGGGTCCATCATGTTTGCTACTGGAATGTGTCTACTATTTTGGAATGAGGTTTGCGAGTGGCACTTTCTTATCATATGAGACCAACTCGTTTAAGAAAGGAAAGAAAGACATTTAAAAAATTCAATGTTGTCATGATTAAATTGGAATAGATAAACATTTTTTATAACAAGAGATCCTAATTCAATTATAATTTCTGAAATTAATTCATTTAAATGAATATATATAATAGTTTAATATCTTAACATTAAAACCGTAGGCGCTTCATATTTAAAATAATGTATCTAACATAAACAGTCTTATTTCCAATCTTATTTTTTTTTTCGCGTCTTTTCAGGGAAGAGCCGTAAAAGTAGCGCATTCCTTGGATGAGGCTTTACACAATGTTATTGTGCTTCCTAATTCAATGATACTATCATCTGAATATGAAGGCCGCTTGATACATCTATCAGGTCCCTTACTAGTCTCCGAACCATTAACAGAACCAGATTATGGAATTATCATATCAAGTGTGAAACTGAAGAGGAGGGTTCAGATGTACCAATGGGTTGAAATTGAGGAAGAACCAAGGTAGAAGATATTTGTTCTTGATCATTTTGATCAAAAATAAAACTTTAATTGAAAATTGCTCTTCAATCCATGCTAACTAGCATAAAAACTCTGTTGCACCGCAGTATACATATAACAAATATATTAAATCTTTGTTTTTAGTTTTGGCGAAATAACAGAGGGCGAGAAACACTATTATTACACGACAGAATGGAAGGACAAACTCGTAGATTCGGATCACTTTTACATTCGTACAGGCCATCACAATCCCAAGGAAATACCAATCAAGAGCCAGGTGCAGATTGCAGACGAAGTGAAGATTGGCGCTTATACGCTTGGCATGGAATTGAAGAAAAAATTCAACGATTTTGTAGAGATCACCAGTGATGAGAGACCAGAGCGAAAGAACATTAAAATGCACTCTGGACTGTATTATCACAGTGCAGATTTGTGGAATCCTCAAGTATGTCACTGCAAGAAATTTCTTTTTCTCTTAAAGGGGGAATATATAATATTTAAGAATATTTTGAATTTAGAATTCCATTTTTGGAATTAAGAATGAAGATTAACAATAAATGATTACAAAGTTCAAGACGAAATTTCCAAAAATTTTTTTCAGAAAAAAGATTGTTCCATTCTATCAAATTCATAGAAAACTGTTGGAATTTCTCTGTGGTCAGACATTCACCATTCAATTTGTATTGTACTTAAAAACTTTTATTTTTATTTCTTTCTTATTTATCTCTAATAGAGCTATTTCTAATATGGCTTGCTTTGTTTATAGGTGGGAGACATCAGAATACAATTTTCCTACGCGGGAAAAAATGACAATGTTTACTCGGTAATTGGCTTGTTGGAAAAAGATACCATTAAACCATATTACACATCTCATGGTGAAGAAATTTTGCTTCAACGGAAGCATAAAATGTCGGTGGATCAGATGTTCCATTTGGAACATGTACATAATTATTGGCGAACCTGGACCATCAGGTAATTTCTAGATAAAAACAAATATTTTAAATAAAAATAAATGTAAATACTTGTCATTGATAAAATTCAAAGAGCTGAATTAAATATAATTTTTAGTTACACTTGGTATTATTATCAAAGAGAATATATATATATGAAATATATATCGTAAAATATTAATAGTTAAATGACATTTAAAAAATATAATTATAATAAATTCAGCAAATAGGGAATTAGCGCTGTAATACGTGCGCAATCAATTTCAATATTATTGAATTGTATGTATTCTAATTTAATTATTATTGCTAAATTAAGCTACGGTACTCGCATGATTTTTCTTATAGCTTAATTTTATATATCTCAACGCTTACGTTTCCACATGGAATTATCTGTACGTACTGAGGATGGCTAAAAAGTTAGCTGAAACATGTTTATAAATCAATAATTAAATTAGAATACAATTCAATAATTTCGAAATTGATTGCGCATGTATCACAGCGCTAATTCCTCTAGTTGCCGAATTTATTATAATTATATTTTTTTATATCAGGGAATTTAGATTATCATTCGTTTAAATGACATTATTTTTATTGCAGAGGGCTCGGATGGTTAGTTTTGTTTGTGGCAGCAACTTGTTTAGCAAATATATTAAAAACAATTATACTAAACTCAACGTTCCTTTGCGGTATAATTGCAGTCGAATCTCTGACTATGTCAGTCTCTATGTCTATCAGTTTATTGGTGATTGGTTTTGCTTGGGTGTGGTATCGACCAGTCATTGGTCTCTGTTTAGCACTAGCCTCCGTTTTGCCATTTATTTATTCGACACTGACATCAGGATCTTCATCTCAGCAACGTGATAATTATAGGAGGTTGTAGATTATTAATTCGCTTTAAAAGCAATTTATCTTAAGATGCATTAAATTATTAATTTAATCAATACACACATACATTTATTTGATTTTCCTTTTCTCTATTTTCTTTCTCTTGTGTGTGTATGTATGTGTGTGTTTGTGTGTGTGTGTGTGTGTGTGTGTGTGTGTGTGTTTTTAATAATAGGCAAGAAATATTTAAAATAAGTAAATGAGAGAATATTATTTAAAATGAAAAAAATATTTATACTTTTTAATATGTGTGTATTAAAACTGTAGGAGCATAAAATTATTTATTAAGTGTATTTCTCCTGTACAAAGCTAGTTATTCATTAAAATATTTTATGTTTTAAATAATGTTCATAAAATATCACAATATCAGTACTGTCAATAATTGATTCTTTCTGAAAATGCGAATGTCTCATTGAACTTTTATAAGAAGCTCTATTGTTGAATGATAAGGTAAAGAATATGAATATACACATCCATTATTCCACGCGTTCATAGATTCATTACCATCATTATTAAAATAAGAAGTAATTTGACACTTACAGATACGATAAACAGTAGTTGCATGAGTTGTAACTAAATATTGGCTAGATTCAGCAGAAAGAGCAGCTTTGCATCTTTCTTTAATGTGAATAGATGCAGGACTAAGAGCAAAAACGATCATAAAGACTTTCACAACAGATACATAGCTTTTTTTGCTGAACATAGTCATTATGTTGTAACGCTTGGTGCAGATGTCTAGTCAAGTGTCCTCCTTTTCTCGAGTTGGTCCATTGCATTTATTACAGTTTAATTAAGCACAATTCCGCGTATGTTGATCATCTGAATGCTACGATTGCACGAAGATTGACTGCCGGAATCGAATGCGACGCGTAAAAAAAAAAAAATAATCATGGTGTAAAAAGCAACTTTTTATACCATAAGGATAACGTGACTTTAGCGTTCATCGTTTCTGGACTCACATTGTTGCAAAAACTCCCTGTTATTAAATATAACTTAAATATAATCTAAACAATCTTTAAAGAAACAATTCTCATTTATACGTCTCAATGAAATTATACGATTTTATTATAATTTCCAATCACACATCAATTTCACTTTTTAATTGTTGCATCTGTGATAATTTTTTAAAATTAATTATCGCTTAAATCAAAGAGAAACCTGAGAGAGGCCCAAACCGCAAAATGTTGCCACGCACTACTACCCTCTGGTAAAGTGGGTGTAAACTACATAGCAACGTCCACTTTTCTTAGGGTACATTATCCACTTTTCAAGGTTGGAGACGAGATACTATTAAAGACCGTCAACCCTGAGCAAATTTCGGCGGTATAAAAAGGGCCTCAAGAGCCCTCCAAGAGGAGGTAATTGAAGAATACTGACATTATCGAGAATTAATATAAATTTACTATTATTAACGTAAATATTTGGTTCATACATTATTAAATTTATGATTTTTTATTACATAATGTTCTATAAATAAATATGTATACTTGTAAAGCTCTAATATTCTATATATTGCAGAAAAATTACAATTTTTTTTTGCAGTCTTTGATTATCATCTCTGTTGATAATCAAACTTTGATGATAGCAATGATATCACAATTTTAAAGAAAAATCGAGCATTATTGAGTTCTAAATGCGTAAATACGTCCACTAAACTAATAAATCATAAAATTAGTACAATATTTCCAGTTTTTAACTCTTAATACTA